CCCCCCCCCCCATTTTTTACTTTCCCAGCACTTCTGTTCTTCTCTAAAATTTGCTTGATTGTTTTATTCTGTGTAAAATAAATAAATAATTTACGTTAAATAAAAAGTCAACTTTACATTATATAAAATTATACATAATTGTCAAAAACATTAATTCAAGTGTTCAGAAAAAGAAAGAAATAAACATGCTGTGTGGGTTTAATGTGATCAGAGACCTTAGCTTTCCTTTAACTCTACCCACAGATCTACAAATAAATGTTCATTCACATGCAGCAGTGCACCAGGGATATTATAAAGTAAACTCCAGAAATCATGATGACAGAACAAAGCTAGTGTCTCTGCGGTGCGCTGTCTAGGCCTGAAGCCCGTGCGCGTGTCCCTCTCATTTCTACTCATTTCTACACCTTCAGACAGAACATCCCACCCTTCTTTTCTTTCGTGTTTCTTTTCTTTTCTCTCTCTGTTTCTTACCTCGTATGGTTGTGGTTCCAAAAAATGTTAAGCGATGTGCAGACTACGCCCTTGGTCTCCAGCACTTTCTATCTGTCTCTCTCAAGAACGTGTCACTTCCTCCCTCTTCTCTTTCTGTCTTTCTCTGTCTGTGCGAGTCAATGGCTCTTCTCTTTTTCAGACTGATTTCTTAAGGCTTCAGCTGACCGTAAATAGGTTTCTCTTCCTCTTCCTGTGACAGAGATGCTCTTTTAAAATGAAACAAAGCCATCTAGAAGACTTCTGCTGCCTCAATATAGTTTAATTCATTTGACTTATACTTATATTCATTTGATATTACTGCACTTATACATCACCAGTTATACAGGTAACTAACAGTGCTGCCTGCTGGGGAGATTTTGCACCACCACCATAATGGCTTTTTGCTTTTTTTCTCCAAAGGTGATCAAAATCCATTACCATTGTTGTATCAGTTGTTTAGAATGACAAATAAGGGCCAGAAAAAAAAAATAAAGAAAAAAATAAAGAAAAAACTTTAAAGCTACAAAATAACTGTTGGCCCTCTAGTGGTTAAAAATTTATCTTCATGTAACTTCATGCATCTTGCGAAAGAACATCGTTTCTCTTATGTCTCAGCTCTGCGCCCAGGGATTCCCGTAGGTTTGCCATGAATTTATGATCCATGCTTTTTTCTTTTTTTCTTCGTTAGTTACAACAACCTCCCAGCAAACACAGAACGTTCCCCTAACATTAGTTCTCTTTCAAACATTTGTTCGGTATCTCACTATGGGATATAGACAACTCCTGTATTGCAGATATGCTGTCCGAAACAGGCATGTCAACCAACGTTGCGTTTACATAGAAACGCAACGCACGGACAGGGTACAAACAGTGAAGCCGCTCTTCTTCTGGTGACGAAAAGGGCGGCGGATGAAAAGCCAATAAATCCACTTGATTACATGCTAGAGCTGACTCGCTCACTTTAGGCACGGACGCTGGATTAGTTTTGAGAGACACTCTCGAGTAATCCATAGCGAACTGCATACAGGAGTTATGAACCGACAAAGCATGAAGTTCACTAACCCGCTTAGCAGATGAAAGAGCCAGTAATAATGCGGTCTTTAGCGAAAGGAGCTTCAGATCGCTGCTGTCTATAGGTTCAAAAGGTGTACGAGATCACAGGGACCACAGACAGAGCCCACGGCGGAATCAGTGGTTTTGACACCCTGTTCAAACGCAGTGCAGCCCTCATAAACCTGCATACCAGCGGGCATCGACCCATAGTGTTATTGTCAATCCCCACCGGACACGCAGAAATCGCCGCGAGATACACCTTAACGGTAGAAAAAGCTCTGCCTTTATCCAAAAGTTCCTGAAGAACACATCTGCGATAGAGCAGAGAAACGGAACAATGAGCTTATGCGCGCACAATTGCTCGAAAACATTCCATTTCCTATCGTAAGCAGAGCGCGTCAAGGCAGCCCTCACGTTCTGAATTGTCTCGATCACCCTCGGAGGCAACGAAGTAGCATTTAAGTTGAACCTCTCACGGGCCGAGCCCAAAGAGCAACTTTGTCCGGGGCGGGGTGAAAAATCTCCCCGCGCGCTTGTGAGAGGAGGTCTCAGCGAATCGGGAGAGGCCAGGGCTGGTCGCATAGGAGCTGCATTATCTCTGTCAGCCACAATTTCCCCGGCCAGTTCGGGGCAATCAATATGACTGAGTGACCGCACTCCTTTACCCTTCTTAGAGTTGGTACGATCAGACTTAGCGGAGGAAACGCGTAAAGCAGTACGTTTGGCCACTGGTGCGCCAGGGCATCCACACCCATAGGCGCACCATCTCTCGCTAGCGAGAAGAACAGAGGGTAGTGAGTGTTTTCGTGCGATGAGAAGAGATCTACGGCAGAGCGGCCGAATCTCTTCCACAACTGGCCCACTACCTGAGGGAGGAGTGTCCATTCTCCATACTGAGGATTGCCCCTGGACAGGAGATCCGCCCCCGCATTCATTATTCCCGGGACGTGCGTTGCCCGTAATGAATGAAAATGTTTCCTGCCCCACACAATCAGTTTCTGTGCCAGACTGTGAAGCTGAGGGGAGCGTGTACCCCCTTGGTGATTTATATATGCCACCGTGGTCGTGTTGTCTGAACTGATCAAAACATGGTGGTTCCACAGAAACTGCACAAAATGTTTCAAAGCTAGAAACACTGTTAACAGTTCTAGGTAATTTATGTGCGCGCTCTGCAGCGAGACGGGCCATTTCCCTTTCGCTATTCTGCCCTCGCACACTGCACCCCAACCTGAAAGTGCCGCGTCCGTCGTTACCACCTTCCTCATGGAAACTACACCCAGCGGAGTCCCTGATTCGAGGAACGAGCGGTTTCTCCAATAACGGAGAGCACGCATGCAAAGTGGTGACACCATCACTCTGCGGTTGAGGTGGCGTTTTGGACATAAGTGTTGTGCTGCTGTCCAATTGTGAAACTCTCTCATTCGCAACAGTCCCAAAGGAATAACTGAGACTGTTGAAGCCATTAGCCCCAGAAGGCATTAACAGTCTGAATGGGACTTTGTTCCCTTTTTGAAAAAGGGATAAGACAGCTGCGAATTGACCTGATGCGCTCCTCTGACAGAAACGCTTGATACCGATCTGAGTTCAGTCAGAGGCCTAGATAGACTATCTCCTGCGTGGGCACCAGGCAGCTTTTTGTCTCATTTATCTTGAAGTCGAAGCTCTCCAATTGAGACACAAGCATCTTCGTGTCTGTCTCCGCTTGCTGCCGTGACAGAGGGCAGAGAAGTAGATCGTCCAAATAAGCTGAAACTCTGAGACCCGCTGTTCTCAGCGGTGATAGAGCCACTTCTATACACTTGCTGACTGTTCTTGGAGCTAATGAGAGCTCGAACGGAACAATCATAAACTCGTAGGCTGTGCCCTGATAGGCAAACCTGAGGAATTTCCTGTGTGCCGGGTAGATGTCTATATGGAAATAAGCGTCTTCCAGATCGACTGAGTTGAACCAGTCTTTCTCGCGAATAAAACGTGACAGCGCTTTGGATGTGGGAATTTTGAACTTGTATTTTCTGAGGTGTTTGTTGAGGTTCCGCAAATCCAGAATGGGACGGAGACCTCTCCCTCTCTTGGGAATTACAAAGTACCAGGAGTAAAAGCCGTGCTGGCTGTCCTCCGCCGGCAGAATTCGAATGGCTCTTTTCCTTATTAAAGCGGCTATTTCTTCCTCTAAAACTTGAGCGGACTCCCCTTCTGTGGCTGACATCAACACACTGTTGAACACTGGTGGTTTTACAGCAAACTGCAGATGATAACCCTTCAGTATCGTAGATAAAACCCAGGGGTGTACTGCACCTGCGCACCAGCTCTCTGCGTGAGCAGCGACCATCTAGCGGGGGAGCTGGGGATTGCAGCTCTGAATTGAGTAATTTTAGTTTTGTGTGTGTTTTTATTTTCAAACCTTGCTGTGCCCTCGACCCACTGCCTGGATGCACAGGGATTTTTTATTTATTTTCACACCACACATATTTTCTTGTGAACTGCCCTCTGCCCTTTCCGGCAACTCCGTGGGAGAACTTCTTTGTGGGGCACTGGGGGAACTGTTGCCAACTCCACACCTGAACTGGTCAAAAGAGAACTTTTTGACATTTCCTTGAACAGTTCCCAAGTCCAATGCCTTCTTTTGGCGGGAGGGGGAGAAAATAACCACTCTTTTTGAGGGAGGATAACAACAGATACTCCACGAGTGCTGTTGCTCGTCCCCTCGTCCAGAACATGAGGACGGGTTAGGTTGCCCAGCGTTTCTTTCCTCCCTGAGGGTTCGCCGGTCTGTGTCTAGCCGCCGCTGCTGCAAAGGAAGGTTTTCCCCTTGGCTGTGCTGGCTTAGGCTGTGCCTCAGTCTGCTGAGGCTGGGGAGGTCTGGGGCTCCTGAAAGCCGGCTGACCACTTCTGAGGGGGGCATCAAAACCGGAGGGTGCTAATGGAGAAGCCTTAGGAATGGGTTTTCGGGGGAGGCAAGCTTGGTAAGCCTCACCCTCCTGCTTCCTCAGATCACACCGCTGGCGCATAGCAGTGACTGATGCTCTGAAAAGGGCTTTGGGCTCAACCGGGGCATCCAGGAAATCAGCTTTCTCTCTGTCAGATAGCCCTGAAAGTCCTAGCCAGAGAGCTCGCTCGCCCACCACTGCCAAGCCCATGCTGCGGCCGCAGCTCTGGACTGCGCCCCCGGAGGTTCTCAGGTTGAGATTGGCAATAACGCAGATCTCTTCCCAGAGAGCTGGGTTTGGTGACCCATCATCCATTTGTCTCCCCATCTCCTCCATGAGCTCTGCTTGATAAGCAGTGAGGATAGAGGTAGCATTCAGAGCCCTCACTACCAGAGCAGAGGAATGATAGATTTTCTGAAAAACTGAGGCTGTTAAGCGCTCAGTACGTGCTGGCAGTGAAGCGGAGGCAGAAGAAAAAGCTCTGGTCGAGCTCCACTTGAGCCGAGGCCGGGGAACCTTCGCTTAACGCGCTTCCCGGACGGGAGGGCATCGGTGGTAGGATTGCGTCGTCATCATCCTCTTCTCCGTCCTCCTCTAACAGACGAGCGATCGCTTCGTCATCCTCCTCCTCCTCTCTTTCCTCTGACAAGATCGGGAAAAGAGGAGGAAGTTTGGGGGAGACTTCATCCATAAACTCGCCCCAACTGCATGACACAGTTTGGTCGACAGAGAAAGGGAGGGGTCTCCTTTATTAGCGGCCGCCACCCGCACTCTTCTCTCCAGAACCCTTGGCGGGAGAAGGGAACAGTGCGGACAGCACTTGGGGTTCGCAAGTGCTGCTTGAGCGTGTCTGAACCCCAGGCATACAATACATAGGGGATGAGAGTCCCTGCTTGAAATACTTTCTCCGCATGCACAAGGACGCAAGACATCTTTCCCCATCGTGGCCCCGCTTGCGGAACTAATAGTCTTGTCCATTCTTTATCAAGCCGCTAAGCTCACCACAATGTGTCGCTTAGAAAAAAGACAGACCAGAGGAATTCTTCGTAACACGTTAATTCGCTCGTTTGTCCTTAACAGTAGTTTCCACCTTGACAGTGAAAAACACCCGCTCTCAGAAAAAGCCGCGTTCGGCGACGTACCTTGACGGCTCGTCTAAGAACAGTTAAGCAGCTAATCCTGAAAAGAGGGCAACCGAGGATTTAGTTTCCAAAAGATCTTCACGGGGAACAGAATGAGAATGAGGTAGGGACGGTTATGCAGTGATATATATGAGGGAGGCGGGACTCCCTGCATCACTGTCGTGATTGGTCTGTCAACTGACAGACGTGGTGTAATTGGTGCTTCCAGGATTGGTCACGCCCGAGGCGATTCCCATAGTGAGATAACGAACGAATGTTTGAAAAAGAACCAAACATTGTTAGCTGGGCTTCAGCTACTTTTTCTGTGTACGGATTTTACTTCACACTAGGGGTGGGCGCTATACCGGTATGAAAGTGACTACCGGTATTATGTTGTTCCATGATATGGATTTTGCTATACCGTGGATACCGTTATATATTCATTAATTCAAATTTTGCATTTATATTGTTTTGTTCAATTTGGTACGCCTTGCACATTTTAATATAAATGACGATAAAGAGTCGAGGCTGAACGTTTTTTTGTCCTCCGTGTGCAACTCTGTACTACACAGGCATTAGTAATCAAACACAGAGCATCGTAACAGATCAAATTAATAGAGCGCAAATCCCCTGCTCCAGTGGTTCCCAAACTGAGGGATCGTGTACAGTCAGCAGATTATTTTGCAAAATAAACCTCTGCAGGGTGATAAAGACTACACTGTGTAATTTTCCTGCTTATCATGCGGCCACCTGCCTGATAAGTAAATACATGAACGCAAAATATTAATTTGACATTTTAATGACCTCAACATGACTCGCCGTACCCGCTTGAGCACTCCGATATCAGTTGTAGAAGTTGTGGTTGTATCAATAATAGACCACTAGATGGCGCGATTGAAGAATCAGAGTTGTATTGCAGGCAGCCATGTAGAAATATAAATGAACGATGCATGGTTCTGCTCTAAGCATGAAAGTTACCAGTTTGTGAAAGGACTTCCAGCGCCAGGTAAACGTAATGCAGATGATGAATCTACTTAAGATTCACAAATACCAAAACAACGATGCGAGCGGCGATGTCACAAAAGAAAAAGGGAATCCAGTGATGTTCTCTGCTGTGGATGCGGCGCGACAAGACAAATCCATGACAGTAAACTGATGCCGTGCTCTATTTCTGATGAACTCCAGCGCTCGGACACAAAGAACAATTTCAAATATTCATAAGAGAATCGTGAAAAAAATTGTTTCCTCAAAAATATTAAGCAGCACAAATGTGTTCAACATTGATAATAATCAGAAATGTTTCTTGAGCAGCAAATCAGCATATTAGAATGATTTCTGAAGATCATGTGACACTGAAGACTGGAGTAATGATGCTGAGAAAATACAGCTGCGCATTACAGAAATACAGCAGCCTATATGTTAAAACATTCAAATAGATCATTAGAATTGACACTATTTCACAATATTACAGTGTTTACTGTATTTTTAATAAATAAATGTAGCCTTGGCGAGCAAGGGGGGGGGGGGGCCTTGAAAATATTTTTAACTATGAAAGGGGGCCCGGCAGAAAAAGTTTGGGAACCACTGGCCAACTCAAACACACAATATTTAATTTCATTTAATTCATACAGGCCTACCTCATGTTGCACGTTTGCACTTTTTGAGAAAAACAATGGCACAATAAAAAAAAATAAAGACTTTTCAGGTCTATGTCCAATCCCTCACTTTGTCTAGTTATATAAGGTTAAAATATTTTGCCTGTAATTTTTTTTGTCATATCACAATATATCGAAATCGCCTGGACAGTGTAAAATATCGTGATATGAATTTTAGCTCACATCGCCCACCCCAACTTCACACGCAATTTCCCACGAAAACCGTCCCGACAGCAATGAAAAATAAATGAACATAGCAGAATATTTGGGTAAAGACATAGTTTGGGGGATGAATGTTTTGCCATCTGCCACTAATAACATTTTGTTAGTGTAGTTTTACTGAATTGTTCAAACTGCAATTTAAAACACAAAGAGCCTGAGAAATGTGCTGTTCTACAGTCAGACGCTGCTTCCTTAAAGGGACAGTTCACCAAAAATAAAGATTCTGTCATCATTTACTCACTCTCAAGTTGTTCCAAACCTGTGTGAGTTTGTCTTCTGCTGAACACCCAAACAGGTATTTTTAAGAATGTTTGTAGCCAAACTGTTGATGGTAGCCTCTGACTACAGCACTGTATTATCATGCACAAAATTAACTCATGCAGCATAGAACTGTTTGAAACGGCATAATGCGTGTCCTATTCATATACTTTTTTTTTTTTTTTAATAGCAGACTGTATCATGAACACAGCCAATGTGTGAACGCGATAGTAAAAATGGCAGCTGATTTTGCTTCTTAGTCAAATCACACTGAAAATTGACGGTCAAGATACAGTATCCCAAACACTGTGATGTGATCGTATACTGCACATTGTAACCACAACTTGCATAATGCAAACGTAGCGGTAAAACCCACGATGAATGCATGTCGAGTTACACACACGGGTCTCACAGCTTCATGGATCCAGAACTTTATTAAACTGATGCTGCTTTACAATACGGTGAAGCTGAAATCACAGTCAGTTAATCGATGGCAAACAGGTAGCGTGAACGAGCCCTCAACAGAAGAGCATTACAGAGTCCAACAACAGCCATGCATTCACATTCAGAGACAGACAGGTTTCTACAGGCCTATGAGAGAAATAATGTCACAATGCTTCCCTGCCCTCTCCTCCAAACCAGAACATCTGCATTTAATCTGCCAAATACTGAGATGTAGAAAAAATCAAATAAATACAAACCATAAACATAATAGTGTTTTTGATATGAAGGCTCAAACCCACTGTTAACACAGTAATGTATCTAAGGCTAGATGTTCTGACTGATTGAGCCACATTAATCTAATTAAGGCTTAAAACACACTCTTATTGGGTCGAGTGGAGGAGAGGGTCAGGTTGAGAATGATTAGTTTGGAAAGCCGGCGCTCTTCTGCAGATGAATAATGTCCTGGTTTTTCTGCCGCTTGCTTTGATCACCGGATCGCTATTAGCCCCACATCTATCAGTTTCTGAATTTTCTGAGCGATGACGGGGTTCTTTAGATGACTAGATGGACGGAAGAAAACAGCAGAAGAAATATTTGAATGTCACAAATTCATGAACAAGTCTAGACATATTTATGAGGAAATGGAAGAGATTTGGTTTTGTATTTGACGTTTTCATTACAATTAGGTTTCCCCCCGAATTCTCATTTCTCACACTTTGCATGAATTCTGGTAGTATTTTTATTTTATATTCTGCCGTCTTTTGATTTCTATTCATTTTGTTGCTTTTAATCTTTTCACGTGTATTTTAATGTTTTTGTTCATACAGACCTTCAAGAAAGCGCCGTTTTTAAAAATAATAACAGTCGCGTTCATTTTGTCATTTTTAATTTAGTCTTAGTCCTGCGTCGATGTACTTTTTAGTTATTATCATTTCTAGTCAAGCGTGTCCTGTTTTTGTTTAGTCTAGCTTTAGTGAATGGAAACTATCACATTTGTGTCATGCTGTATAATAGTTAAACTGATTTAAAAAAAAATTATAATTCACAATTACAATCGAAAAGCTTGTTATTTGAGAAATGTCAAGGTATTGCTCTTTCACCATCAAGCACAAATCAATAGAATGTGGACTTGATTTGATCTCATCTAGTGCACTGATTTATTACAGGCTATTTAATATCTAAATCAATATCAACGATTTTTGATATGCACTCTCTCCGTCTACATTACGAAAACAAACAAAAACTATTTTAACAGTAACATTCCTGATAGTAATTCCAAATTGCAATAATCTTTCTCTATTAAAACAACAGCGGTTCATTTATTTCAGCAAACACAATCGAGATCTCAGACTGACTGAACATCTCACACGCAGATCGCACTGTTTTCAGATCGTCATCGGCACTTCTGTGATGAAGAGCGAGCGGTTGCCAGATTGAATAAAAATAGCAGAACACCGGGAAGGAAATGCATCCTTTTAACAGAGAAGCTGTGATTTGGGGATTTAGACTCTTGATATCTGGCAACCGCACTCATGAAAGCTTGTGCAGTAATGTGTTCTGTTTGACGAAAATTAAAATTATCGTATAGTTTTTATTTTTTTAAATACGTTGTAGTCTCATCTTTTATCGTCATTGATGCTGCATGTTGATATAGTCACAGTTATCATTTATTGACCTTACTGTCGTCTCGTCTTAGTCATGGGGAAAAAAGCTAGTCAACAAACATTTTACATCATACTTTTCGTTAACAAAATTAACAGTAAATAACAGCGGGAAAAAAAGCATTACAATAATGAGAATTTGGAGGGTTATTTTTTTCCACTACACATCTGCAGTGAGGAAAATGCACGTTTTTTTTATATTTTGGATGTATTATAGGTTGAAATGTGTTTAAAATTGGTATGTTTAAAAAAAAAAATGTATATATATATATATATATTTGATGTTTCTTAAAAAAAACGTACTAGATCCAGTGAGAAGCCTATAATACATCCAAAATATAAAAAACGTGCATTTTCCATCTTACTGCAAATATGTAGTGGGAGATTCTCAAAAAAAATTTAAAAAAAATTTTTTTCAGTAAGGTGGAAAATGCATGTTTTTTATATTTTGAATGCACTACAGGTTAAAATACGTTTAACATTGTTATGTTTAAAAAAAACGGTTTCTCACTCGCTGAGGGCCTGCGGGTCTTTCTGCATCTGCTCTAAGATCAAGCGCATGGCAGGGTCGCTCATGATCTGCTGCACCTCCGGGTCAGACATGGCCCTCCGCTTCACGTCCTCGGGACTGTCGTTACGCATGGCCTGGCTCACCACGCAGCGCTGCAGGCCCTCGCTGGCCTCCTGTGGAGAGAACGATCACGTCAGAACATCTGCAGTCCTTCAGGAAAGCTCGCATCACCAGCAGCTCTTCATACCTTGGAGTTGGAGTCCAGCTCGAGAGCTCTCTGGTACACATCCATCGCTTTAGAGAAGTCCTTCATAGCCTCGAGAGCCGCTCCCTTGCGCGTGTAACCCTTAACTGAAGAGTGCACAGTGTGAGGCGTCTGCAAATAAACCACTGGCTAGCTGTGCTAACAGAGCGTGTGTCGCACTTACTGAAGCTCGGGTCCAGCTTGATGCACTCCTCACAGTCCTGACAAACAGAACAGTATTATTTTTATTACCACCTTTACATTTCTGTGTGCCTATGATATGACGCCAAGTGTTAGTTTTGCACCTTTCATTCACACAGACTTTAAATAGTCTTTTTGCGGTTTAATATTTACAGACTCTACCTTGAGGGCCAGCTGGAACTCCAGCAGCTTGGTGTAGCAGGCAGCTCTGTTGCTGAAGAGCTTGGCATCATAAGGGTTTCTCTTGATGGCCTCCGAGTAATGCTTCATGGCCAGAGGATAGTCACCTGCACACGACACACCCACAGATCAAACCAAATCACAACCTAAACCATTGAAACACCAGTCTTACTAGATCCGAGAACGCTAAACCGGCTCATTCACACACCCTTCTGGAAGGCGTCGTTGCCTTGGTTCTTCTCTTCCAGTGCCAAATCTGGATTGATGTAGGCCTGCTTCTCCTGTTCCTTTAAAAACTTCTCCGCCTGTAAAAGAGCGGACAGAAAGAGTTCTGAGCACAGATATCTGACTTCTGAGTTTAAGTCTCACTACACTGACTCTCATTTGTGACCCTGGAGCACAAAACCAGTCATAAGTGTCAATTTTTCGAAATTGAGATGTATGCATCATCTGAAAGCTGAATAAATAAGCTTTCCATTGATGTATGGGCAATATTTGGCTGAGATACAACTATTTCTATGAAAATCTGGAATCTGAGGGTGCAAAAAAATCTAAATATTGAGAAAATCATCTTTAAAGTTGTCCAAATGAAGTTCTTAGCAATGCATATTATAAGTTTTGATATATTTACGGTAGGACATTTACTAAATATCTTCATGGAACATGATCTTTACTTAATATCCTAATGATTTTTGGCATAAAAGAAAAATCTATAATTTTGACCCATACAATGTATTGTTGGCTATTGCTACAAATACACCCCAGCGACTTAACACTGCTTTTGTGCTGCAGGCTCACATTTGACTATAACGGCTAAAACCAGTATTTGGTATTGTATAATGGTTATAACCCAAGCTCTGGCTGACCTGCTGGCACTTCTTGAGCACTTCAGGTGTGCGATGCTCGGTCAGGCTCTTATTAAAAAACTGGACCGCCTCTTTGTGCTTCTCCTGCTTGAAGTAGGAGTTCCCGATCCTGGCGTAAGCCCTGCGGCCGAACAGACACAAATAAACCAGTGCAGAGGTGCAAACAAACACGTCACAGCTCTGTTGTGGTGCACTTACTTGGCGATCTGTCTGTAGTCTTCGCGGTTCTCTCGGCCCAGCTCGATGGCCTTCTCACACAGCTCTCTGCACTTCTCAAACTCGCCCTCTTCAAAACGCACAGCTGACAAAGAAAACACACACTCGTAGTTAAAGTGGTTTCGTTGATCTGCTTATTGTTGGGCCTATGCAGTGTCCCGGACACATTAACTGGCTCATGTGATTTCATGTTTCATGGGCTTCTTCACTTTCTATTGTGAGCCGAGATGGACTGAGATCAGAACTCTCACCTGCTTGGTTTGACAGATAGGTCATGTTGGTGGGATCCTGCTTTAGAGCTTCTTCATAGTGCTTCAGTGCAGCAGCGAAGTCTTTCTTCTTATATGCGGCATTTCCCAGCTCCTTCTCCCTCAAGGCCTGGAGGAACGATCAGGATTAGCACAGACACCAGGCAGAGCTCGACGGTGTTATTCCAGAACATAAGCGGCTTTTACAAGCATATGAAACGCACTGTGACTTATATTCCAAAGCCGCTTGTTAATGCATTTAACGTCAAGCATGCAAAATGCAAGCATGCATCAGTTCTAGCATTGCTAACTTGACATCGCAGCCTGTTCATCATAAACCTAAAACACAGAGAAGTCAAGCAGCTCAGTTTAAGTCACGTGAAGGACGCTGTTTTACATGGAGCGAAGCACAAAGCCTTGTGAACATAATAAATACTAGTCTAGCAACCAAACGTTAGGCTGCTTCTCAAACACGGAAACATTTGGATTTGTGCCGAATGAGCGTTATGTGAGCTTCAGTTTTGCTTTAAACAAATTACTTTATAGGTTTAGCCTTGATAACTTCATATGTGTGGCCCTGGAGCACAAAACCAGAAATTGAGATTTATGCATCATCTGAAAGCTGAATAAATATAGGAAATGTACAAAATATCTTCATGGAACATGATCTTTACTTAATATCCTAATGATTTTTGGCATGAAAGAAAAATGTATAATTTTGACCCATGCAATGTATTGTTGCTATTGCTACAAATATACCCCAGCGACTTAACACTGCTTTTGTGCTGCAGGGTCACATATGTTGTTTATAACAAATGCCACTATAATGTCTATAGTATTTATGTTTATAAACATTTAATATGCGTTATTTCTGAATGCAATAAAATGCATCTTATTTCTTCTCTCATGCAATGCAATTTTGACCAAACGCAGAGTTAATTGCACCGGTGTGACTCATACAGTACGAGCCAGACAGAGTACCATTCTCTTGTTCTCCGGCAGCTCCTCCTCTTTCGGCGGAGGGGGCGGAGCCGTCTCTCTGGGTTTGGGCGGAGGCGGAGTCACTTCATCCTCTTCATCCATGCCAGCTAGATCCAGCCCCAGCAGCACCGAGAGAGTGGTCATGACACGTGGGTCCTGCAGCCTCCTACACACACATGACTGGAGATTACACCACAAACACAGACGCTCGTCTTCTACACACCCTCACAACATCAGATCAAAAACCTTACGGGTTATCCTATTAAACACTGCACTTACTGGAGCTTCCATTTCAATCCGGCAATACTAACATCACTTTAACTCATTTAACTGGAATGCAATAATACGTGTGATTGTGAAATATTGTTGCACTTCAAGACGAAGCGGATCAGCAACGGAGCACCTACGCGCCGAGCTCCGAGGGCTTGATCCGGAGCTGCTCCAGAAGCTCCCTGTAGCTGGGGTCAGACAGCAGCGCTCGGGTTCGAGGGTCGCCCTCCAGCTTCTCAAACAGGTTGGGAATGGAGAACGGGTTCATCATCTTTCTCTCTGAAAACAACAGTAAATCTCAGCAAAGAATCTCTTCACTTCATGGGTTCAGCTTCACTAATGCTTATTCACACTGAGAGTGAGCATAAAGCATACAGCTGGTGGATGCTGAGGTATACGCGTCACCTGCTAACCGTGCTTCAATGTTCTGAAGCCCCTCCTTGAGCTGCTGATTGGTCGGCTCTCGGCGTAACCCCTCCTGATAGGTCGCTTTGGCATCCTCCAGTCGCCCGAGGAACTCCAAAGCAGCTGCTTTTCTTGAGTAACCCTTAAAAAAAGATGACATTTGAAAATGTACGATCACTGGTCTGAAAGAGAACGGGAAGCAGATCCCAGCTCACCTTGCCCCAGTCCGGCTTGATCTTTACGGTCTGGCAGGCGTCTCTCAGGGCACTGTCGTAGTCACCCTTCTTGGCATAGGCGGCAGAGCGGTTGCTGAAGAGCACGTGATTGGAAGGGTCAAGGGTCAGGGCCTCTGTGTAGCACCTGACGGCCTCCTCCACGTCTCCTGCGCTCAGTGCCTTGTTGCCTTGATCTTTCAGTTGTGCTGCCTAGAGAGAAAGACGGAGAGACCGTCATTATGATTGTTCATCAGCTGTATCATTACTAGGGTTGGGTACCGAACTTGGTATTTTTAAGGGTACCGACCGAATTGCGTCAGTACTACAGAGTACCGATTCACGTTAAATCAATCGGTGTCAAATTTCGGTAGCTGAGAACGCATACGCTACAGAGAGAGAAAGAGAGAAATGTTCTGAAGTGTGGTTACATTTCTAGAGCCATATGGTTTCTGCGAAAACGCAGATGGGATCGCGGAGTCCATTCATAAAAACGTAATTTACTCTATAGCGCGGCATGCCACGGAATTCATCAATTTTGGACGAATAAATCAAAAGTAGGTCTGCCACTCAATTCGAATCGCGATATGAACTAGTGTCTCTGAACATAAAAATGCAAAAAGACGGTTTAAATATGAATCCTGTATGTTCCGCGTGCCTCTGTATGTATGAATGCCGGAGACGCGGTTTTGTTTACTACACAAATACTGAAGCAGCGTGACGGTGCGGTTTAACATGTAACAGAAATACATTACTCTTGTATTACTTTTGTACATCTTTAAATATTCAATTTTCTATCAAATTTAAATAAAACAATTAAATGATAAAAATAAATTACAACTAAATTAATCACTTAATTGTAGAAAAAAACTAATACAATTATTAGCCTGTTAAAAAATGTTTTAAAGGAATATTCACACAGTTTTTCTTCCATGTATTAATTTCAACAGTAAACCTCAGTTTGTTTGCCAAAAAAATAAATTGTAGGGCCCTAGTTTAATATTTCACAGAACTTTTGTCAAAATATATGGTGAAATAATGCACCAAACGGCAAAATCATCATTAAATGATACGTTCTGGAGTTTGGTTTATCCATTACATCTTTAAATAAACATAAAATACTAAGTTGGCATATTCAAATAAGTTTTCTTTTTTTTTTTTGCTGTTAATACTTGAGTTTATTGCTCTTAAATGTTTTATTAATTGTAAGGTTATTGATAGATTTTTGGGAAAATAAGTATGTTGTGAATAACGGTTATTTTTGTTAAAATAGTAATTTTCTGTTACACTGTCAATGCATTATGGGACACACACTAAATTACAGTATCACCGTTTAGAGCATTTTCCATCTTATTTATATTATAAATAGCACTGACAATTCTTACACTTACTGATTTTTTTTTATTTTATCTATTTTTTAAATTATTTTTTATGGCTTATTGAACAACTGTAATTCAGCACAAGAGATATATTAATGTAAAAACGAAACTACATACTTATTCTGACCTGTACTTATTAAAATAGGCCTACATAAAAGAATAAGTGGTCTTTTGTTACAGTTTAAATGGTTTCACTTCCTTAAATCTTCTTGCTGACAAACGGGTAACACCTGAAGGATACTGGACAAGTGTAAATATTGAAAATTACAGTTAATTTGTGCTGTGATCTATAAATTGAGTCTTTTAATATGCCATTCTTGTTCCAAATATGCCTGAGAAGATATTTTGGTATATAAATTGCTGTTAGACCAAATTATTTTTTTTCTGTAATTCACTGCAAAAAAACAAAACAAAAAAAAAAGTATGAAAGTCATTATTTTTTGCTCAGAAAATAAATAAATAAATAAATAAACAGGACACATTCTAATGTAGGGGAAAAGCAAGATCACATTCATTCATTTATTATTATTTTATTTATTTGATGCATTGCCGTTGCTGTGGAAGCAGTGCATTGTGGGAGATAGATGCTCCAACAACCCAAATTATTGTGCAATAAGTTAACAATTCAATTGAACTGCATAATCTCAGAGGAATACAAATATATATATATATATATATATATATATATATATACACACTTCTCGTGCTCTCCTTAATCGCGACTTAAAAACTCGATTTAAATTAATGTTATGACAGAAACTCCCCATTATGATCGGGATTATGAACAACCAACAATCCTACACATATTCCTTCAGGACTTTCTAAACGCATGACATATTCTAATAATAATAATAATAATTAGCAAGTCTCTGATCTGACCGGAGCTCATGCTAACCCGCTAACCGATGGAGGAGATCGACAAACATAAAATAATCGATAAACATGCTTTATTCACACAGATCGTAATCTGTACTAGTAATAGTCAGCTTCTTAAATTAAAATAACCTGGAAGAGCAGTGGTTAGCACCGCTCGCGGGTTACAGCACAGCGTGTCGCGTTCGGCTGCTAACGCGCTGTTAGCTCACTAACTAACTAGCTTCCTATCGTTGATGCGGTTAGTAACGAGCTACACCGAGCAGCTCAAATACACAACACTTCTAACATGGTTTACTCTGCACAAGCGTTTAAAAAGCCACGTCTTCTTCATAATGTGTAATGTGTAATATCTGTGGAAGAGTTACTCACTTTCTCCATAGCGCGAGCATGAGGTTCCAGAATCTACCGAGAGCACTCTCGCCAACTCTCGCGAGACACATAAGCAACCGCAGCTTCACAAACAAGCCCAGCATTTTTTTTATAATTTATTATCAACTATTTAATACCAATAAACGAGCCCGCAACATATTAAACTGAAACTACCCTTTTATCTGAAAAGCAAAAACATAAGTTATTTTACAAAAATCAGCAAACTGCAACAAAGCAGGAACAAAACTCATCTCCAATCACATGCGAGCAGAACAGGATTGGAGAGATGGAAAAGGAGAAAAACACAAGAGCTTCAAAAGGGAGCTGTAACATAGCCACATATTTATAGCCTACTAAAATATTGGCTATTCGAACCAAATCTACTCTTAGTATTAGTATAGACCTACTTGTTTTTTTGTTTTTGTTTTGTTTTTTACAGCCCGTGATAATTAATACATTACAAAAACATTGTAAAAATTAAAAATTAGGCTACCTTATAAAGGAAAAAAGTCATCCCACATCGCTTGGATTACAGCGTCACCCTCATTGAAGAAAAATCACATTCTAAAAACTATTAGTAGCCGAACATTAAAAGTCATTATGCATTCATTCATATTAACAGCTCATAAAACATGGAATATGTAATCATGAAGCAAAATCAGTCTCTAGAATATTCATGAACAGATTTACGAATCGCTGCGCAATGCATGGCAACCAGAATAAAGGCGACCAATGAGAAGAAGAACTGTTACTTTTCGCACCGCATCAGCAGCGCTGCGGTCTCTGATTGGATGAATCGCTGAGCGGTGACTAAACGAGCTGTTGAGAAAAGTAACGCTGAATGTTCCAGAACTGTTCTGGATTCTGTGCGTGGCAGCATGCCGTGTTCAAATGCGATATATATATATATATTTCGGTATAACGCAGAGGTGTAAAGAATACCTGAAAACCATACTTGAGTAAAAGTCCAGATACCTTACAGTGAAAACTACTCTATTACAAGTTACAAATCACCAATTCCAAAACGACTTGAAACTAAAAGTCTTAGAGTATCTGATTTTAACAGTACTTGAGTATTTTACTCATACTGAATATATAGGCTAAAAAATGCACTAGTCAAAGAGACATGCTAGTGAACAACAAATTTAATTTAATCTACTAACAACACTGTCGCAAAATGGGTTAAGACTGACTAAACTGACTACCACAAACTTTAGTACATCACCTAGCGTGAATCTTTTAAAGGCATAGTTCACCCAAAAATGAATATTAGCCCGTGATTTACTCACCCTCGAGGCATCCTAGCTGTGTATGACTTTCTTCTTTCAGACGAATCCAATCGGAGTTATATTAAAAAATGTCCTGGCTCTTCCAAGCGTTATAATGGCAGTGAATGGGTGTTATTTTTCAACCGTCCAAAAGAAGTCTAATAAAGCGCGTACATCCATATTAAAAAGTGCTCCACACGGCTCCGGGGGTGAATAAAGCCCTCCTCCAAAAATATCCATATTTAAAACTTTATTAACTGGATGATGCAGGCGTAGCGTAAATCATGGACTAATTTTCATTTTTGGGTGAGCTATCCCTTTAAATACTCTCCTCCCATAAATGTTGCATCTGAACTGGAAACTCCTACAAATGCTTATGCTTATATCAAAACAACTGTCCACTGCATGGCTTTAGTAAATCCTGACAATAGTGTTTTAATGCCAAAAGAGTGTTTGCGCTGACACAAAAACAATCTTCAGCACTTCAGCGGAGATCAGGAGGGCAATATGACTGTAAGAATGCCCATAGAAATACACAAAAATGCATTCAATAACTACATCTTTCAAATGACATGAACTATCTTCTCTCTAAGACACAACCACCGCCAAAACCCGATGACCGACAGGTTGATTTACAGGTTCACATACTTTTTTTTTCAAAACTGTTAAACTTAAATCCATAAACTTAAGTTCACAATACAAAATTGAATAAGAGCAATTTGCTATATTTCTATAATAATACCATGCTGAAATATATTCTAAATCTAAAAACTGAAATACTCATGTTTCATCACCGTCTACACAAAAGGGGAACGTTGACATTCTTTGGTACTGTAATGTAAATACAGACCATTTAACATCTACTGCAGAAACAGTAGAGCCATTCTTGTTTTGTAAAGAATTAAAAATAATAATAATAATGTTATCCTGTTGTTAGAGTTTTTTTAGGTTGTTGTTTTCTGAGTGACAACGTGTGTTTGTTGGGAGACAACCTTTGCTAGTGCTATGGATTTGATTTGAGTAAAATGTATTAATTTTGTGCATTTTGAATGTGAAATAATCTGCAGTATCAAGCTGAAAGCTGGCTAGGAGAACTGTGTGAAGAGTTTTGAAAAAGTGACCTAAGACCTTGAGTATTTGTCCTAGCGACTGTAATTGCAGCTGAGTACGGTGAATATATTGTATAGGCCTACTGTATACAGCAAGAACAGTATTGTGCTGAATATTGAATAGCACTGAATGTTTGTATATATTCAGCGCTTGGATACTGCAAAGGCCAAAAAGGTCAAATAAAACTCTAAATGAATGGCATGTTACAGTTCACTCAAATACTGTAAGATGTGCAATTGTAAAAATCAGGGTCAATGAGAGATTCAGCATCATGTCTGTGTGCTGGAGTCCGGCCTGAGCACTTCACATCACAAGTAATGTTGTCTTTCTTGCTAGACAAAGAGAAAAACCCCTCTGGTCTGACAGATCCAGCCTTGATAACACTCCTCTTTCTCTCCTCCTCCTCCACTTCTTACATGTACTCTTCCTCCTCTCCTTCTCAGATGGTGTCCATCTATTGTGCGTCTCATCATTCAGTCACCTGTGCCACTTGTGCTCTCTGAACCGGCTCATATGTTGTACAGTTGGTTTGATCACATCATTAGAAACAAGTGTGAACAGTTTTGAATCGTTGTGAGTAAACGATGACAGCTGTGCTTTAGTTGTGTTTAGCATTTTGCAGCACAAGTGCATCACAGTGTGAGAAGTGTTTAAGGGAATGAGAATGTGTTTAGAGTTTTGCAAATAGAGCCGAACTGCCTGAATGTGTTTAAGGTTTAGCAGAAAGAGTACTTTATTCGACAAATTGGTTTAAGCTAGTGAGAATTTGGTTCAGAGATTGGGGTTTAGTGTTTTAGCAATTCAGAAAAACTGTAATTTCAAAATATTTGTAGCTCAGTGTAACTGCAGTTGCAAGTATCTTACAGCAGACGGCACTCACGGCATTCATAAATAACAACAGAAAAATGCAGGTCTGGATATTCACCTGTTTTTACATTATCTTTGTCCTTCTCTCTCTCTCTCTCTGTGTGTGTGTGTGTGTGTGTGTGTCAGTGTGTGTGAGTGTGAGTGTGTGTGTGTGTGTGTAAGAGTGTGTGTGTGTGTGTCAGTGTGTGTGAGTGTGAGTGTGTGAGTGTGAATGTGAGCGTGTGTGTGTGTGTGTGAGCGTGTGTGCGTGTTTGCGTGTGTGTGTGTGCGTGTGAGTGTGTGTGTGTGTGTGTAAGAGTGTGTGTGTGTGTGTCAGTGTGTGTGAGTGTGAGTGTGTGAGTGTGAATGTGAGCGTGTGTGTGTGTGTGTGAGCGTGTGTGCGTGTTTGCGTGTGTGTGTGTGCGTGTGAGTGTGTGTGTGTGTGTGTAAGAGTGTGTGTGTGTGTGTCAGTGTGTGTGAGTGTGAGTGTGTGAGTGTGAATGTGAGCGTGTGTGTGTGTGTGTGAGCGTGTGTGCGTGTTTGCGTGTGTGTGTGTGCGTGTGAGTGTGTGTGTGTGTGTGTAAGAGTGTGTGTGTGTGTGTCAGTGTGTGTGAGTGTGAGTGTGTGAGTGTGAATGTGAGCGTGTGTGTGTGTGTGTGAGCGTGTGTGCGTGTTTGCGTGTGTGTGTGTGCGTGTGAGTGTGTGTGTGTGTGTGTACTGACGTGATTGAGAGTGACAGACTGAGGAGAGGGAGAGACTGTAAACAGCAGAGCAGCTGTGAAATCAGAACTGGGAGGTAAATCTGTGTCCCACTGCACCATTCATTACAGTTTTTTTACGATTGCTATGACAATTTTTTCAATACTTTTAACAACTTTCCAAAACTTTTAACACAAAAAGCACACCTACAACACACAATTGTTAAAACAGTTTAATTAATGCTCAAAAATACTCATTGTAAACAAAACTCCAACACAAATGTTCAAAATACAATAATACATTAACACAATACACTATGACAACCAAAACACTGCAAACATGTCTGAAAATCAAATAATTATTCCAAAACACTAACACGTGTTCTCTTCCAACAGGAACATTTAGTCCATGATAACACAATGTCATAAAAACACTAACATCAGATGGAATTACAGAAGCTGTGCCTCAGGCCTGCACTTATACAATAGACAGTATGTTGTATTGATCATAGATTGTGTTTTGCACTGCAGATTCTTTTGAAACCTCTCTACATTTTAGTTTTGTTGTGTTTAGTAAATGCATGCATTTTGTTTCTCTGAGTCTAATTAACGCATGTGGATGGGTCCCACAGCACTGATGCGTCATAAACCACTCAAAACGAGTCCATACGACCCCAGCTGATGAATCAGTATCTTCTGAAGCAAAACCACAGGTGTGTGTGAGAAAAACACTGATGATTTAAACTATAAACCTTTGCTTCTTGCCAACTATCATACACAGGTTCATAAGCTCCAGCCTGACATAAATGTCCGGATGAAATATGATGTAAACGTGTTGTGAAACAAGAAGTGGCAGTCTGAATTTACTGGTTGAATGTATGGTTTTTAGTTAAAAAAGATTAAAATATTAGATTTTTCTCACCCACAAATATCGTTTCGCTTCAGAAGATATTGATTCATCAGCTGGGGTCACATGGGTTACCACTTTGTTTGTTTTGCATCGTTTTTGAATCATTAATTTTGAGGGACACATCCACTTGCATTATATGGACTATGGATTTATTTGATTTGATTTGATTTGATTTGATTTTTTTATTTTATTTTTAATTTTGTTTTATTCTATTTTATTTCATTTCATTTTATTTTATTTATTT